GCATGTAGATAAGGAAATGCCATTTATCAGCATTTCTCTCCTCATGAGCTGTTACACTGACAGCGCTTGAGGAGAATCGGTAATCGACATTCCTCAGGGGGGACATCTACACTGATCATCAGGGCAATGATGATCAGTGTAGCCCCATCAATGCCACATATCAGTGCTGCCTATGGGTGCCATATATGAGTACTGCCTTTCAGTGCCCATCAGTGATGCCTGTCAATGCCCATCAGTGCCACCTATTAGTGCCCATCACTGCAACCTCATTAGCGCACATCAGTGAAGGAGAAACATTACTCATTTTTTTTTCTTTTCAAAATTTTCAGTTTTTGGTTTATCAAAAAATAAAAGGTGATTACATACCACCAAAAGAAAGCTCTATCTGTCTCAAAACAATGATAAAAATTTTTATATGGGTACAGTATTGCATGACTGCGCAATTGTCATTCAAAGTGGGACAATGCTGAAAGCTGAAAATTGGCCTGGGCAAGAAGGGGGTGAAAGTGCCTGGTAGGCAAGTGGTTAAAAGTTAGCAGCTACATTTTTAGTTGCTGTTAACTTTTAATGAACACAAAAATGTTTGTTTTTATGTGATGATTTTCTGGTGACAGGTTCTCCTTTAATTTTTTTACCTGTAAAAAATTGTGCATTTTAATTTTTGTTAAAAGGTGAAACTTTAGGTCCTTAAAAAGATTGGTAAGCGGAAATATATTACATATTTGTTTCTCAGTTTAGTTCCTCTTTAAATTTGATGCCATTGCTCACAAATATTGTGGTTTCTTCATCCGGCTCCAGTGTTATAATGGCAGATATTTCCATATGTTTTACATACAGTTTCCCTTGCATTTGACTGCACGAGAATGTTCAGCTGTAAAAATAGCCTACACTTGTGCAGTTTTTATGTCCTATAGCTGTCTTCTTACATGCCTCCTTTCTATGGGTAAAATATCTGCTGTACTTTGTGTGTTTGTTTGTTTTTTGTGTGTGTTGTTTTTTTTTTTTTTTTTTTTTTTTTTTTTTTTTTTTTTTAATGAAAGTTTGTTTCGTATTTTCAGTACAAAGAGATAGTAGAGAGTGTTCAACTGTACAGCAGGAAATGACAATGGCTATTAAAGCAAAATTCAATCTCTCAATCAACATTGACTCATTTTAACTGCTTGCTAACCCACTGCAGTACATTTACTGCCGCAGGTCGACTCATACAGGCACAATCACGTACATGTACATAGTGTCTTTCTTCTGGGTCTGCTTGCGAGCGCATGCGTGGACCCCAAAGACTTTGCTGTCATTTTTTGCTGATCTATGGCCAGAACCTGCTGATTGGCTCAGGGAATGACAGAGAAGAGCCATGTGTTGGTAAACAATACAGGGCGCTGTCTCTTCCCCCCCACCCCAGTGCCCGCTGTAGTATTGCAGACCCACTGCAAGATGCTGATCACTGCCATTACTAGTATAAAAAAATAAATAAAAATTCAAGGATTTATCTCTTATTTTGTAGACACTATGGCTTCCAGGCAAACCAATTAATATGCAGGTATCAAGATTTAGCAGAATACATTTTGGCCAAAATTTATGAAGAAATTCAATTCATCTTTTTTTTTTTTTTTTTTTTTTTTGATACCGCCAAATTAAAGCTCTGTGTGTGAAAAAATTATATAAATTTGCGTACAGCATTGCATGATTACACAATTTACCAGTTAAAGTAGCGCGGTGCCAAATAGCAAAAAATGACCTGCTCTTGATTGGGGTAAAATCTTCCTCTTAAGTGGCTGTTAGCATTAGAAATCAGTTTGGAAGGTATATGTATTTTTTTTCTTTTCTTTTTAAGTTACTGTCTGGTTTCCAGGCCCAGCGAATGATGTCATACATCCCAGGAGTCTTCAGGAGGGGTTTTCTCAGCTAGGCACACCCTCCTGACTGCATACCTGAGCATTATATTTATCGCTAAACCCGAAGTCTGTTTAATGCTTACAGTGCACGCAGTTTAGTTTGAGCGGACTAAAGTAAATTTTCCATTTATAACGTATTGTGCAGCTTGCTTCTTCAGACTTGTCAAAAAAATTACCAAGTTAAGTTTGTGCAACATAACTTTTTGCATTTAAATGGATTAACATGTTCCCTAAGATAAACATGAAACATGCCAGCCAGGAGAGCTCCTCATTGGTGCCCCATTTCTACGCTTTTACCAAACAGTAGCTGGCATTTATTTTTATAGGGAGAGATCTTCAACGTCAAAACAAGCAAAAAGAAAAAAAAAATTCTAGTGTCTGTAGGATCTTTTTAAAACAATCTGTTCTTAATTTTGGAAAGCCTTGCAACAATTTTGTTATAGCTTCTGACAAGTGCGACAGAACCAGGCAGTTCTTATTACTGTCACTTTAAGAATGAGTCGCTATAGCTGCGACACATTCCAAAAAAATTACCACCGGTTCACAGATTAGGAGACTTGCAGTAAATAGGACAAACCAGGGGTGTTGAAAATTTTAAAAAAACTGCTTGTCCTGGGACTAAATTGGGGTGACAATCTACTTGTCCCTCATGACAATCTACTTGTCCAGCTAAAAAATAAATACATTTTAACCAAAATCTTTTGGGTCATTTAACAACAAAAGGGGCTTTCTGGTGACTTAAACGTGTAATATTTTTAATATTGTGCTGTTTATATCCTCCCCCCTTCCCTGCCTGTCTCCAGCACTGCACCTGGGGAGTAGCAGGGAGGGGAGAGAGCTTGCAGTGCAATGAGCACCAATGGGGTGCTCATCAGGAAAGGGGAATGTTGGGCTTATCTTTATCCCTTTCACTGCCAGAGCCATTTTTGCGTTTTTTGCAGAAGCATAAAAAATCGTTATAGGCTTGACGATTACACAAAACCCCCAAACATTATATATTTTCTGAAAGCAGACACCCTACATAATAAAATAGTGGTAGTTCCAGATTTTTTATGTTGTACGATATTCCCCTAAAATTTCAGTAAAAAATACTTGAGTTAATTTTAGGGCACAAAAAAGCAATAAATTACCTTTTTTTTTTTTTTTTGTTAAAATATATAAAAGATGAGGCTGCAGCAAGTAAATAGATATCCAACATGTCAAACCTTAAACTTGCGCGCTCTTGTGAAATGGCAATGAACTTCAGTACCCTATATTTTCTACAGGTGACAGTTGCCCTTGATGCAAAGCCCCTTATAGGTCATCACTATAAGTGTTATAGAGGATATCTTGTGCTAGTATTATTGCTCTCATTCTGGCATGCGTGGTTGTATGTAACGTGTATCGCAATTGACATTTTCATGCGTAGGTGCCCCAGTGTGTGCTTTTACGTTTGTAAGTGCGTATATGTGGGGGCCTCAAATTTTTTTTTTTTTTTTGAGGGGATGGTATGTGCTTAGCTGTAACTTTCCTTTTTTTTTTTTTTTTTTTTTTTTTTTTTTTTTTTTTTTTTTTTTTTTTTTTTTTTTTATCGCATAGGGGACAAAATGTACTCCCCTGAATGGAATGCAGTGCAGATTGCTGATGGTAGTAAAAAAAAAAAAATGTAAAGTAAAAAGTTTTAAAAAAATACATTTATTCAATTTTTTTTTTTTTTTACATATGGTCACCAGTCACTCTCAATGATGCTGTACTGCACTGGTGACCGTATGTATAATTAAAAAAAAAAAAGTGAATGAAAAACTAATTTTATTTAATTTCTTCATATTCCAAAAGACTGACAAAAAAATTACAATTTCAAAAAACTCACCATGCTTCTTACTAAAAACCTTAGACTGTCTACTTTCCAAAAATGGGTCATTTGGGGGATATATGTACTGTCCTGGCATTTTAGGGCCTCAAGAAATATGTAGCTCAGGATCAATTTTCGAATATATATCCCATAGTTTGTCAACTCTATAACATTCACACAGACTAAATAATATACACTGTTTTGGGTTATTTTTTCCAAAGAAATATAGCAAAGAAAAACATGTTTTTTCCAACACTTTCAGTATTTTTTAGTTTATATAGCAAAAAATAAAAAACCCAGTAGTGATTAAATCCCACCAAAAGAAAGCTCTATTTGTGTGAAAAAAATTATATAAATTTTAATATAGGTACAGTGTTGCATGACTGAGCAATTTCCAGGTAAAATAGCTCAGTGTTAAATAGCAAAAAAAATGCCCTGGTCTTGAAAGGGTAAAACCTTCTGGAGGCCAAGTGGACACAGAGCAGCTCTGCACAGGTATGTGGGTGGTTAACGCACTTCTTTAGTGCAGATTAACAACTTCCCGCCCAGCCTATAGTAAAATGACAGTCTGGTGAAACTTTCATCCCTTCTGTAGGGCATCATATGACTTCCTTCCCGGATCAGGTGTTACTGCACTGGTGACAGTATGTAAAAAAAAAATTGTGAAATTTTTTTTAAATTAATTTTTTTAAAAATTGACAAATTACAACTTCAAAAAACTTGCCATGCCTCTTGTGAAATACGTTGGACTGTCTACTTGCAAAAAGGGGTCATTTGGAGGATATCTGTACTGTTCTGACATTTTTGGACCTCAAGAAATTAGATTGGCCGTCAGTACTTCAGGATTGATCAATTTTCAGATATATCCCATAGTTTGTGAACTCTATAACTTTCCTACAGACTAAATAATGAACACTGATTTGGGTTATTTTCACCAAAGACATGTAGCAGAATACATCTTGGCCTAAATTTATGAAGAACAATTATTTATTTGCAAACTTTTATAACAGAAACAAAGAAACATGTTTTTTTTTTTTTTTTTTTTTTCTTTCAAAATTTTCGGTCTTTTTTGTTAATTTTAGCAAAAAATAAATACCACCAAAAGAAAGCTCTAGTTGTGTGAACAAATTGATAACATTTTCGTTTGGGTACAGTGTTGCTTGACCACGCAATTGTTATTCAAAGTGTTAGGGCGCTGGAACCTGAAAATTGGCCTGGAAGGGAATTGGGTAAAAGTGTCCGGTTTTGAAGTGGTTAACCAAAGGCGCTGAAACTGCAGTGGTTATGCATTTCAAAATGTGTTTGAAGCTAGTAAAACCAATCAATGTTTCTTTATCAGAGGCTACCATTATGCTCTAACTTTTTTGTTTCCAGTCACAGTTCCTCGCAATTTCCAATTACTGGATGAGCTTGAAGAAGGGCAGAAGGGTGTTGGAGATGGTACAGTCAGCTGGGGCCTTGAAAATGATGAAGATATGACTCTTGCTAGATGGACAGGAATGATCATTGGACCCCCAAGAGTGAGCTGCCAACTGCTTTCCACAGCAGTTTTTTTTTCCTTTTCCTCTGATACAACTCTTTATTATAATAAAACGCCAGACAAAACAATCCTAATTAAGTTTTGGATAGTGTGGAAAAGGTGTAGAATCTGTCAGGTTTTTGCCATTTGTTCCTGATGAGCAGACATCCTTGCTTCACTGGGACAGGAAATCGAGGGACATCTTCCCAACACTGCAAGTGGTGTCAGTCGCATACCATACAGATAATTGCCCAATAGCTTCTGGGTGCTCAACTGGACTGGATGGTGCCATATGTAGACTTGTGGAAACTTTCACAAAACACATTTGTTGCAGAAAAAAATTGTGTTTTGACACCAGTAAGTAGGATATCCTCACCAGTGTCTGAAAAAGATGATTTTTTTTTCCATGCAACAAAGGTGTGGTAGAAATTTCTACATTTTTCCGCCACACAGATGACAATTAAAACCTGACCATTCCCACACTTCCCCACACAATCCCAAACTTAAAAAAAACAAACAATAAAAAAACTAAGCTGAACTACAAGTATATAAAAGTATTACTACAATCTTTGTGGTATGCGTTTGTGCCATCAACATGGACGTATGATTTCAGGATCCATGTATATTCTCAGGTCACCTAAAGCCTACGTTTAGCTAAAATAAAAAACATACAAATGAGTACAAGGGACATCATTTTAGTTAGTATGACGTGTGCCTTGTGCTGTTTCTTCTTTTAGCAGAAATCTTCCTCTGTCCTAGCCGCTGTAATGTTTTGGTGCAACGGAGATTAATACAACTATTGATTATAGAAGGGGGCTGAGGGGTGTTAGGACGGAGGAATATTTCTTGTAAAAGAAGAAAAGTTAGCACAAGGGATGCATCAAACGTATTGTAAGTGCTGAATTTTATGTTTTCAATTTTAACAAAACTTAGGCTTTAATGTGACTCTTGACAACTGCTTAAGAAGAAAAAAAAAAAAATCTCATACAGTTAAAAGGTTTGACAAATCTCACTGTATCTTCTTTCTTCCTCTTCTGACAATGAAATAGACTAATGCCCCTAACTTCCTCTGACTGCTGAGTAGGAGGGTCTGCCTACTATGAAGCCCAGGATTGCAAGGTTAAAGCACTGCAGCCACAGTACAGCTGTACCCTACCATGTGTTGTGGTATGCTGCAGGTCCTCCTATCAAATGAACAAGCTGCCATAGTGCAGTGTATGTTAACATAATGCATTTGTATGAGTGGACTCTAAATGTTTACCCTAAAGTGTATCTATATCCCCAAACCAAAAATGCAATAAATTGCAGCTTACAAATCCTTAAAATGTGACTACACCTTCTTCGCTGCTTTTGTTGAAAACACTGAGATTTATTATAGAAAACTGACCCTCTCACTGTGCATGCAATAAGTGGAAAGTTGCTGAAATGACCTGCCTCAATAACACAGAAGTGAACCCAGTTTGCAAAAATCCTTGCAACGTATTCCGTGGCCTTGAAAAAATGTTTGTCAGCAAACCTGAGTTTTTGTTTTAAGGCTACTTTCATGTTTATGCTTTTTGATGCATTGTGTGTGTACTGTCCATTTTACTGTTCCATCCTGATTGATGCAGCAAGCAAATGCCCCTAAAACGCCCATGTGTAAATAGAGCCCAAATATTACATTTGTAAACATGAGCACTGAATTGCGTAAACCACTGGTTTTGAAATAACCACTTTGAGCTCTTGCGTACAAGCCAGGTGAGTCCATTCAGCTTGACTGCCGGTATAATTTCTCAGCTCAGGTGCGCATACAGCCTGTCATTGACATGAATGTCTGTTCTCTACTGTACTAGTATATATGGTGGTGCTATCGTAAACAGGAGTAGAGCATGTCGGCATATGCAAAAACTAGGAACATTTTCTATTTTTTTTGCACATCACTATGTTGTTCTCTTGTTTTGATCGCACCGTCATATACACAAGTACAGCAGTGCCCAGCCATTCCTGTCATTGACAGGCTGTACACTGTTCTTGGGCCAAGCAAATACACCGGCAGTTACACAACTGGTTTTCCCGTGTACAGCAGGCCCATGTGCAAAAGACTTGTAAAGGCCCTGTAAGGCGACCGTGCCTAGTAATTTGTGCTCATGTGAGCACAGACTGAATTGACACATGGACATTATGTAAGCAGTGTTGATTGCTCATGGATAACATTTTTCAGTGAACAAGTAAAAATAACTTTATAAAACCTCGGAGAACGGTTAGATTTTCTGTCAGGCTTCAACCTGTTTTTATTAATGTAAAAATGGGTGGGCAAACTTCAGCCCAACTACAGCTCCCATCAGACCTCTGGAAGTCATGATTATAACTTTCAGGGTTTTGCGGTGCCTTTTGGAACTTGTAGTTCCATAACAGCTGGCAGGCTAGGGTTTGTCTACCCTTGTTTTAAACAATTACTGACATGAATTGGGGGGACAGTACAGTGTCATGATGAATGGTTGGTTGAATAGGCCTGATTAGGGGAGGAAAAATGATTTGCTGTAAATGAATTGACATAGAAGTGAAGTTAGACACTTAGCATGCAGTATGTTGTCTGAAAATGTCCCTTTTGGAAACTACCTGTAATGTACCACCTATGTGGAGTAATGGTGCAGTCATTCACTTTGTAATACATTGAGAGAGTCTGGTTTCAAAAGACTGAGATCCCTGGGGTAGCCCACTAGATGGCGATGTTCCTTTTTGTTACCTCCAGCACATGTCAAGGGACATTGGGAACATATGGATATCTACTAAACATCTCTATCAGTAGGATTACATTTGGGAGAAAAATGCCTTTTTTCTCTTTCTTGCTATTCTGTGTGTATTGAAAAAGCAGCTGTATGGCTGCAACATAAAAAAAAAAAAAAAAAACACTGCACATGTATAAAACACAACAATGCGCATAACAAGTGTGCTCCGTCCGCTCCCGGACTCTGAAATAATACATTAGTGGCTGTTGTTTGGAGGGAAAAAACATGGGGGGGGAGAGCCTGGTCATGTGACCTTTTAAAATTCACATGACCGACTCTCCTCTAATCACAGAGCTCTCTCTGCTTTAAGCAGTGGGATCTCCATGGGACTAAGCCAGCTTCACACTGTTGCCCAATTTTTATGAACCGAATGGGAAACAGTATGGGGCACAGCCAGGCATAATGGAGAGTGGATAACAGTATGCTTTCTCTGTTATAAATGAGCCCCTAAATCTGATAACAGAATGGAGAGCATGTTTTCTGGAGGATGTTTGTGTTTAAAACTGAACTCCAGCCTTGTCTTCAGTGTTGTACAGGCTCCTCTCCTGTACTGAAATGGCTTACTCTGATTTACTGCACACAGTGAGCGTCTTAAAGTGTGTTTATTACAAGCTGCAACATATCAGATACAGCCCTTCCATGTTCCATGCCCCCACAGTGATTAAAAAAATAAATAAATTATACTCCAAAGTATGGCATGTAAAGGGAGTAATCTGTACTAGTTAATTGAATATCTTAAGGACGCAGGCTGAGTATTCATAGACCCTGGGTTATAGTGTGGTACTTTCATGTGATTGTACACTGGCAAAGCTTTTGAGGACAGAGTTCACTAAGAAATGGTCTGTCCCATTGGAAGACCCTGCTGTCTCAGTCTTAAATATCTCACTAAAAATTGAAGGTGTTCCTTCATTCAAAAATTTTTCTGATTAAAAAGTTTGAGATGCTCTTAAAGGGTTCTTACTCTGGCAGGCCTAGCTTTGCAATGCGCCATCACTGCCATTTCAGTCTGCGAAACCACAGCTAACTGGACTAGGGCAATGGACAACCAACATTATCCTGTATTCCAGGACTGTGTCTTAACTGAGCATCTACAGCAATTACCTTCTGCCTTGCATTTGTGTCCATGCTTTAGAACAAGTACTTTACAAGTACAACCACTTTAACCAGTTCCTGACCGCACTATAGCCAAAAAACGGCTACAGCGCGGTTGGCTAGTTTTGGGAGGGCGTCTATGGACTTCCTCCCAGAACCACCACCACCCCACTCGCATGCCGCCTGGGGCACGCACTGTGCTTGATTTGTGATCGATGTGTCCTTTGGACACAGCTGATCATATGACTAAGGAACAAGCCAATCACAGCCGCTTTTACCATGTGACCAGCTGTGTCTGATCACAGGGTAAATAGGAAATGCCTGTTATTGGCAGTCCTATCCTCATGAACTGTCACGGAGAGACGGTAAGTGACATTTCGCAAGGGGACATCTACACTAACCATCAGTGCCCTGATGATCAGTGTAGCCCCATCAGTGCGGCCAGTAGTGCCCTTCAGTTGAATCCATGCCCATCAGTGCTGCCTAACAGTGCCACATCAGTGTCCATCAGTGTAGGAGAAAAATTACATATTTACAAAACTTTTCCAGTGTCCAATCACTTGAAAGTTGCAGCCTATAACCCAGGGTCTATGAATATCCATCTTGGGTCCTGTATTAGGTTATAAGATATGGAATGATAAAATTTGCAAATCAAAATTTTTATTTTTTTTAAATTTTTTTTGCTTTTTTTATTGTTGTGTCAGTTTATCCCTGGGTAGAAAAGAGAGAGGAGAGAGGAAATCTCCCAAGCAGAGACACAGACCTGACCATTTTGAACTTCCACTCCTTTTCAGAAAGGGAAAAAAAATGGAACTGAAATCCCATTTTCAATGGGAGTAATGCTACAGTAACCACAAATTTCTTATGATTGATTTTAAATGTAAAAATGCTTTTATTTTTATTGTAGATTTTTTTTTCTTTTTCAGACAAATTATGAAAATAGAATATACAGCTTGAAAATAGAATGTGGACCTAAATACCCAGAAGCCCCTCCTACAGTTAGATTTGTAACAAAAATAAACATGAATGGAATAAATAATTCCAATGGCATGGTAAGTAAGGCATATTAAGTCTTTGTTGGCCTTAGGACTGTCATGTTTCTAAAAACATAATAAAAATGACCCTGCAAATACTGTGGTTCAATTTGCCAGTCTCTACAATGTCCTGTAGTGATGTAGGGTCTGATGGATTGAATAACAGTTTGCAGTTTGGGATGCAGGCATTTGAAGCCCCAAAAAATGTCGTGAAGATTCTGCTGGTGGCAAAAAATAAAAGTGGAACTTAACCATTAGCCGCCCGGCCAATGGCCGTTTGGCGGCTTCAGAAGTGTCTCTGCACTCCGGGTGCACGCCATTTGGCGTGCTCCTGCACATGTGCCGTTTGCGCTAATGCAGAGCGGCGCAGCAGTGCGATCTGTCACCGGCTGTGCACCTCGGACACGGCCGATGACAGATCCGAGTACCGGCTCCCGTTGCTGGTACCATGTGACCTGCTGTGACCAATCACAGCAGGTCACATGACAGTTGTATACAATGGATGGCTTCATTCATGATGCCATCCATTGTATACTAGTGCCTAGCTGTGAATGGTCACAGCTAATCACATGCACATGTCATGTGATTAGCTGTGACCAAATCACAGCTAAGCACAAAATAAAAAAAAAAAAAAAAAAAAAGCTGAATGAATCGATTTCATTCAGGTAAATGCTTGCTTATAGCAAAGTAATTCTTTGCTATAAGCAAATTGTGTAAAAAAAAAAAAAATACTGACTATGGTAACATTGTACTACTTTGGCCATAGTAAAATATGAAAAAAAATCTTTAAAAAAATAAAAAAAAATGTAATAAAAAATTAAATATAATAAAAAAAAAATTAAAAAAAATATATATATTTTTTTTTTCATACTGTCACCAGTCAGTGTCCCTGTTCACCGCCATGCCAGTTATATGATGACGCTGTACTGCACTGGTGACAGTATGTAAAAAAAAAAAAAAAATAGTGAAAATAATTTTTTTAATTTTTTAATTTTCCGAAAAATGACAAAAAAATACAACTTCAAAAAACTCGCCATGCCTCTTATGAAGTACGTCGGACTGTCTACTCTGCAAAAAGGGGTCATTTGGGGATATCTGTACTATTCTGACATTCTTGGACCTCAAGAAATTAGATTGGCTGTCAGTACTTCAGGATTGATCAATATTCAGATCTATACCATAGTTTGTGAACTCTATAACTTTCCTACAAACTAAAAAATACATCCTAATTTGGGTTATTTTCACCAAAGACATGTAGCAGAATACATCTCGGCCTAAATTTATGAAGAACAATTATTTATTTGTAAACTTTTATAACAGAAACAAAGAATGTGTTTTTTTTTTTTTTTCAAAATTTTTGGTATTTTTTTTGTTAATTTAGCAAAAAATAAAAACCCCAGCGGTGATTAAATACCACCAAAAGAAAGCTCTAGTTGTGTGAAGAAAATGATAAAATTTTAGTTTGGGTACAGTGTTGTATGACCGCGCAATTGTCATTCAAAGTGTGAGAGCGCTGAAACCTGAAAAATGGCCTGGGCAGGAAGGTGTAAAATTGCACGGTATTGAAACGGTTAAAGTTCACCTTTTTACAAAAAATAATAAATGCAATTTTTTTTTTTTTTTTTTTTTTTTTTGCAGGTAAAAAGTACATTTAATATTTTTAGTTTCTGGAGCCTCTAAAGCATTGCAGCAGTGCCATGCAGGTCTCCTGCAGACCTGTTAGCATATTTGTGTGCCTGTACATCCTGTACGGGCAAGCCGATACTTGCTTTCAGGAAGACTAAATTAACTACCATGGCGTTCCACAGCACCGTGGTAGTTCGTTGAAAACTACAAGCTTACAGTCGCAGAATACTGGAAATGAGTGACACAGCTGGGCAGGTGAAGCCCCGCACATCCGTGTGTTTTTTTTTTTGTTTTTTTTTTTAAATTGTGACAGCTAGTGGGGAGTAGAAGATCTGCCTGCTAGCTGTCACATTGGGGAGCGGGCAGGAGCAGAATCCAGTTCGTTCGTAACATGTTACACCCTGAATATGGGTCTAACATGTTACAAAAGGTGAACTTATCCTTTAACCCACCAATTTACCTGTTTCCATAAACCATTACTTTCAAGGCATTCCTTGAATGAGAGTACACGCTAGGTGTAAAAAAAATTAATCATAAACTATTCAATGCAATAATAAAACCTTATCCACCTGTGTGTGCAAATTATATCAAGTGTTGAAACGTCTGTGACCAATGATCCTATAATTTTTCCAACACACAAATGGCCATAAATCTTTGATAATATAAAAAATAAAACCGTGTCCAAAATGTCTATAAATCCATGAAAACTCTTTTTGTATTTCTGAGTCTGCATGTGTCGATTAATCCTGGAAGCCTTGAGACCTTTTACCACCATTTATAGCCCTTATCCTGTCTTTAAAAGGGATATGCATGTAAGACCTACAGTAGTTGTTGAAATAATTTTTTTTTTTCAGGTGAGAGAATACCCATGTGAATGGTGGTAGTACTCACTGGAACACAATTACTAGAGTTTTCACCACTTGTGGAAAACGCTAAAGGATTAAAGTAGTATTATAGGCAAAACGTTTTGTTTGTTTTTTTTTTGGACACAGTGGAAATGAATTAGAACACCTGTCAAATTTTTACTGCTGTCTGTGCCGCCATTAGGGAGATTCACCCTCTTTATCTGTCCTGTTTCTATGGGACAAGAAGTGAAGGTTTATATCCCCAATGGGAAACATGTTGGCAAACAAAATTGACGGGTTACAACCCTCCCTTACTCTGTCCAAAATAAAAAAAAAATAAAAAAAAAATTGCTTGTAGTTCTACTTTAAACATTAATGGTTTGAGGTGTGCGTGTGTGTTGCTGCGTGTGTGTTTGTTTTTGTTTTTTTTTTTTTTTTTTTTTTTTTTTTTGTGCTTGGAGTTAACATAGAGTTATGGACATTTGTGTGTTGGAAAGACAAAATCGTTGAACACATACATGGGGTAAAGAAAACAATCGCCCCCTTTTTTTTTATTAAGAAAAGAAAAAAAAAATTTGCTTTTGCTTGATAACACAAATTGCTAATCGACCAGTCACATGGTAGCAATTCAATGCATTAAGGCATGTAGACATGATGAAGACAACTTGCTCAAGTTCAAACTAAGCATCAGAATGGGGAAGAAAGGGGATATAAGTGACTTTGAACGTGGCATGGTTATTGGTGCCAGACATTCTAGTGTGAGTGTTTCAAAACTGCTGATCTACTAGATTTTCACGCACAATCATCTCTATGGCTTACAGAGCATGGTCCGAAAAAGAGAAAATATCCAGAGTGCGGCAGTTGTGTGGGCGAAAAATGCCTTGTTGATGTAAGAGATCAGGAGAATGGGCAGACTTGTTGCTGTGACATTCAGATGGTAGGGTCAGAATTTGGCATTAACAACATGAAAGCATAGATCCATCCTGCCTTGTATCATTGGTTCAGGCTGGTGGTGGTAGTGTAATGGTGTGGGGGTATTTTCTTGGCACTAGCAAGGTGTACCTAATAAATTGGCCATTGAGCATATAACATCCAAGTGAAAGACGTAACACTAACATGAGAACACCAAAATTTAGAAAAACAAAAACAGAATCACAGAGTTGGAAAAAGGATCACCCCCTTCCTAAAAATGACTGGTAACCTCAATCAGCTGTAGCTAATCACCTTCTCATTAGCGCACAAAGCCATTTGACTTTCAGCTGTGGTCCTGGTCCCTGGTTGTACATCTGAAGGAAACAATCAACTATGGGTGGAAAGGCACTGTAAAAAGATCTCCAGGATAAGGTTGTGGACAAGGCACAAGTCAGAGTTGAATAAAAAAAATATTCAAAGGCTTTATCAATGCTTGGAAGCACAGTGAAGTCTATTATTAAATAGTGGAAGGTATTTGGTACAACATAGACCCTCCCTGGATCAGGAGGTTGCTCCAAACTGGATGAAAGAGCCAAGAGGAAACTGGTCAGAGAGGCTACAAAGAGGCCTACAGCAACTCTGTAGTAGTTGCAAGAATTTATGACACGGTGGTCATTGTGTGAATGTGACAACAATATCACAAATTCTTCACAAATATGGCTTGTATTGGAGGGTTGCAAGAAAAAAAACCACTCAAGAAAGGTCACATGCAGTCACTGCTGAGCTTTGCCAAAAAGCATCTTGGAGATTCTAAGGCCACATGGAAAAAGGTGTTATAGTCAGATGAGACTAAAATTGAATTATTTGTCCTCAACACTAAACGATATGTCTGGCAGCAATCCAATCCAGCTCACTATCCAAATAACCATTCTTACAGTAAAGTTTGGATGTGGTAATATCTTGTTATGGGGATGTTTCTCTGCAGCAGGGACTGGAGTACTTGTCAGGATAGAAGGAAAAATGGATAGGGTAAAATGCAGTCAAATTCTTAATCTGCCCTCTGCCAGAAAGTTGTCAATGGGAAGAAAGTTTACCTTCCAACATGACAATGACCCGAAGCACTCAGCAAAAATGACCACACAGTGGTTGAAGGAGAAAAAGGCGAATGTCCTTGCATGGCCTAGTCAGAGCCCAGACTTAAACCCCATTGACAATCTGTTGAATGACTGACTTGAAGACTGCACTCCACAACGGTCACCATCAAATTTAAATGAACTTGAGCAGTTCGGCAAAGAAGAGTGGGCAAATGTTGCAAAGTTAGAAGAGACATGGCACAAGAGACTAAAGGCTGTAATTAAAGCAAAAGTTGGTTCAACAAAGTACAGACACAAGTGGGTGATCCTTTTTCCTGCTCAGTGATTCTGGGTTTTTTTGTTTTTTGTTTTTTTCTAACATGGTGTTCTATCCTTCACTTGGATGTTATATGTTGCACTGAGTAAGTACAGCTGGATAAAACAAAAACTGTGTCTGTCTTCATTTCAGGCTGCAAAGCAATAAAATTATTATTTTAAAGGGGGGTGATTTTTGTTTTTCATACCCACTGTACATGTTTGAACACTTGATATTATTTGCACA